CCTTATCAGGACAGATGAGGCCAAAGCTTAGTGGGGAGTGATGTAGTGCAAGTAACTGAAGCTACCTGCGTTGTGTTGCCTGCACCAATGAGTTTTTATTGTTGCTTTTATTATTGCCTTGTTTCTTTTGTACATAGAAAATCTGGGGAGGGACAGGAATGAGTTTAACAGTGCAAGAAATATCGAAGGGAATAGAAAAACACGCAAAGAAAAGGAACTTTGAAGTGTGTTGCTACAGTGGAAGAGGGTACAGGAGTGAATTGAAGCAATTGGTGAAGAAGAAAACATAATTTAGTTACAATTTGTACATGAAAATGTTATTTTCCTCCCTATCTCCCTTTATAGGGAAAATTTTCCCCCATCTAAGCTCTAAAATTGAATATTTTTTTTACAGATAACACTTCTTTCCCTGACCCTCCTAAGTCTCTGAGAGGTTTTTTTCCTCCTTGTATTGTGTGACAAACACGGGAGGGAATAGACCCTTGCAGAACAAGAGAGGAGGAATGATCCTCGACAGCAGAGAAATAATGTTTGTAGTCTAAGACATTTGGCTGCTTTCTAAGCAGTCGTTTGCCTTTGCACTGCAAATAAATATTCCACTATTTTTTGCAGCTATAAATTCATACCTTTGATCCAGAGCACTGCTATCCATTACAGGTGTGATATTATACATCATGTGACTACCAGGAAATGTGTCTGATTATCAGGATTCAACCACCATGGCAAGTAAAGGTGAAACAATAACCACAGGCTCTGCTGCCTGACTGGCAAAGCTCATGTGAGGTGCTACCACTCTGGGCAGCCAAGAGCCAAAGGCTCCCTCAGGCAGCGCTGTGTTCAAGATGCTCACTGAGAATCCATTTGGGCAAAGACTGGGGGAAAAGCAACAACTTGTTTATAGGTCAAAGATTTTCACTGGGAAAGGCTGCAGTTACCAGATGTGTCATATCCTGCCTCTGCAGCACTGGAAATCTCTGTTTGCATGAACCAGGGTCTTCTCCCACCTCGACACAGGATAATGCAGGGCAAAATCTGTGCCTGAGGTGCTGCAGGGCTTTCCTGGGTACCAGATGTGGTACTCTGTCTGACACTGTCATGTTATTCTCAGGAGGTTTTGTCCTGTTGACATTCTAGGGCTCTAAAACTAAAAAAAGGGGATTCTGAATTTGGTTTTGAATGGTTTCAAGGCTTATAAGTAAGCTGCAGCCAGTGGTGGTGTAGGTGACTGAGAGCCTCTGCTAAAGCAGCCTTCCAAGCTCTGTTCCTTTCCCAAATGACTACTGATTATACAACTCCTTTTTGCATTCCACCTTGGAGAAGTGATCTCTGTTTTTACAACAGTTGCATTGCCTATAGATCTTTCTCTCTGTCATGAAAGGTTCACAGCATGAGAGCAAGCCACTTGCCCTTTAAGCCCTGCCCACAGACAATTTCCTTTTATTGCTCTGTCTGGGTTTGGTGGGGGTGAGCTCTCCCCAGGGATAGGCTCTCCCGGGAAGTGAATTCTTCCCAGCTGAATATAGCTGTGTGCATATTACAGGTGAAAACAACTCTTACTCCAGCAGAAGTTCACAGAGTTTATGAAGAGCTTGATTAGGATAGGCAAGTTCAGAAAAATCCAGTGTCAATGTTTTAAAACTGTTTCTATGACATGGTTTATGCAGGGAGTTTATCTTAAAGAGCTGATGATGCTCCTCTGTGTATAAGCAGACTGAGAGTTTCCTTAGTCTGTTGCTTCTACAAGTCCCACTACCCTTGGAGGTGGTGGAGGAGCTGGTCAGGCATAAGCTCAGCACAACAGACCCCAAGTCACTCCCCCCACCCTGAGCTGGAAGGCACCACTCTGCTCTTTCTTCCCCTCCTAAAGAGTTCAAAACAACAAAACTGACAACAAAATATTTGGGGTGGAATTTTTCCATCCAGTTGCTTCAATGGCTGAATTACTGACAAATTCCATCATGGGACATCACCACTTTTCACTGGCAAAATACAACATACAGTCAGTTATGGAGGTATCTTGGCAGGTGACAAGGGAAAGCATCTCCAACAGCCTGGTAAAATAGTCTTGGAGCTTGTCTGTGGTCCCTGGGTGTGAAACTGTAGCTGCTGCTTTCTTCTGTCTTCAGATCTTGGTCTCAACTTTTATCTATGAACGTTTCAGTGCTGGTTTTTGTATCTGAACATGTTTGTGAAAAACTTGCTCCTTTCAATGCATGAATGGGTGAATTAATCTCTACCTTATTTTTAGCAGTGTTTGCATCATAGAAAGTTTCCCTTCTCTCTGCTATCCCCTCCCCCTATTAGTGACAAACTTGCAGTGGTTCTTAAACAAAAATGATTTCCTCTGGTTGTGTCAGTGTTGCTGAGCTGGTGTCCCATCCCAGAAGCAGAGGTGCCTCTAGGTCCTGCAGCCTCACATTCTTTCCCTGGAAGTAGCTGCAGCTGACCAGGGCACAAATCTGATCATGGAATCATCATAGAACAGTTTGGGTTGGAAGGGACCTTAAAGCCCATCTTGTTCCAAACCCCTGCCATGGGCAGGGACACTTCCACTACAGCAGGTTTCTCCAAGCCCTGTCCAACCTGCCCTTGAACACTTCCAGGGATGGGGCAGGCACAGCTTCTCCAGGAATCTTGTGCCAGTGCCTCACAACTCTTCACAGTCAAGAATTTCCTCCCAATATCTAACCTAACCTTGCCCTCTGTCAGTTTGAAGCTGTTCCCCCTGGTCCTGTCACTATCTGCCCATGTATAAAGTTGCTCTCTGTCTTCTTTATAGGCTCCCTTTAAATACTGGAAGGCTGAAAATCTGGTGTGTGATTTCTTTGCTCATGCACAAAATGTTCCTGCTCTAGATCTGCAGGATTTTAGGTGGGTGTGATCCAAGGCAGCCCTGGTACCTGGGGATTTCCCAGCTGGATGGATGCCTCTCGGGATGTGGACCTTTGGGCCAGATGTTATGCCAGAGAGTGTGACAGCTGTGAGGGGACAGCAGAGTCACCACCCTCCCAGCTGCCAACCTGCAGAGCCAGGATGAGGTCAGAGGAAGGTGCTCTCTGTCCCCTGTCACCTGGAAGGTGCTTCCTGCGGTTGCCTGTCTCAGGCAGGGCTGGTTAATGACTAACGAGATGCAGCGACCATGCCCAGCCTCTCACTCCCCAGGCTGCTCTGCCACCGTGTTGTGCCGTATCCAAACCCCTGAGCTGTGCTGGATTTGAGACCCATTACCACTGGCTTCCTATGCCACCTAATTTTCCCCTCTTCCCTTGGTAAGCCTCAGATCTGTCCCTGCGACTGCAGGTCAGGTTGCAGCAGAGCCTCTGCCAAAGGCAGTAGGAAATGTCTGCTTTGTTCCAGCCCTTTGGGTTGGGTCTTCCTCTCCTGCAGCCTGATATTCTCCTTGGCTCTGGCTGAGAAAATGAAGTTGTTCTCCAAAGGCTATCACAGCAAGGGGGGATTTCCAGTCACTGTAAGTGGCTGCAGCTCCCACACATTGCCTCAGCCTCACTTGTCTCTCATCTCTCACCCTACATGATGCAATAACATCAGACCTTTCCTGAAGTATGGCAAAGTAATAAAATATTCAGGGGGAAAAGCAGCTTGCTTTCCCCTTGCCTTCTGAATTGTCCATGTGCTTTCTTTTTAGGCAAACCTGAGGGATTAAACTACAGCTTCACTGTAGCTGATAAGATTGTGATAGGGACATCTATAGCAGGGACTTCTTGTGTAGGATTTTTTCAGTAGCCTCTAACCTTTCTCTGAGTTAGGTCTGACTTGCAGACTATGGCAAATACAAATCAACTACCCCACACGTGCACAGCACCTGGGCTTCCCTTCCCTGACAAACAGAATTCCACCCATCAGCTGCACTTGGAAAAGGGTGGAGGGTAGAAAATGGGACCAAACTAAATTCCTTGTGCTTTTATGAGTCATCAAAAAACCCCAACTCTCTGTCAACATCACATCTGTTCGGGTATTTTTAAGGAAGCTGGAATGCATCATCAGAGCTCTCCCATGAAAAAAAATAAACATGTCATATATAAAATATTTTATTAAAACAAATATACAACACTTTATATACAAAAATAAAATGTACAAGAAAATAGCCCGTTACAGCTTAGTGATTTGATTTTCGTTGTATTACACACAAACCAGAACCTCTTTCATCCAGCACACACTGGGCCTGGGGGGTCTGTGGGGTGTTACAGCTTGTGTGTAGTACTGGAGGGATCCCTGCAGAGTGCCAGAAGGGATCTGTGAAAGGCATGGCATAAATTAAGAGCTCTGCCCCTCTCAGTGCAATATTATTTCGTGCAGCAGCTCTTCAACTCTTGTGTGGAAATGGATAGGGCACGCCGACAGCAGAGAGCACCCTGTGAGTGCATCTGGAACGGACTAGGTGGAAGCAAAGCCTAAACTGATTTTTCACATTTTATTGGTCTAAACTATTTACCCAGTTAGAAAGATCTGAAAGATGAACTACATGATGGAATAAATCAAAGAAGAGAGGGCCCATTAGTGCAATTTTTCTAAGTGTAATGACAGTCGTTAAGCTCAACATCACCAGTGTTGCACAGGTAAGCAGCAACCAAAAACTAATAGGTAAGAGACTTGTCTGCAGTGTCTCCCCTAAGCACTCCATGGGTAAAGTGCTCACCACATTTCATGTGGGGAGGATGGTAACCTGCTCCCCATGCCTGTGGTACACCACCAGGTCAGACCCCATGGCAGACACCTTCCAGCAAAAGCTTCACCTCCAGAGCAATAAGGTGCGTGCTGCGGGTGAGCATCTTCAGTGCCACAGTCCTGCTAGTGAGATGGGATAGTTCTTATTTTGATTGATAATAGTCTTTTGTGTTGCCCCTTTCAGGCTTAAAACTGAAACGGAATAGAAAAGCTACTTTCGTCGTTCACTCGGTAACATACAATTTTTTCCATTCTCTCCACACTTGTCAAAGCTTCTACCCAAGAGCAGTTTGTGGTTGGAGGAAGCCAGAGGTCTACAAGCCACAGGGAATGACTTGCATGGTAGGTCTCACTGTATCCAGCCAGGAGAATTCTAGGTTGCCTTTCTGGTCAAAGAATCGGAACTCCAGGTCTCCTAGACAAAATAAGCCAAGAATTAGCACTCAATTAATGCAGCAAGAGCAAAATAGTGTATAGACAGATAAAAAAATATGTATAAAAATGGAAAGATTTCTCAGAAGTGAGTAAATAGCTTAGACTAATATGTTGCTAAAATACAACAGACACTCTATTAAACTCTCCCATTTCACCTATTGCTAGTTACAATTATTACTAGTAACTTAAGCTATTCCTCAGTTACATTGCAACATGCTCCTGAAAGCTGATCTAACTTAGGCATGGATAACTCTAAAATCTGTACATTACTCTTACTAGAGGTGTTTTTGACTTTTCCTTTTTATTAACAAATTCCTTACAGCCTTCCAACAAACTACATGGAAATCTCAGAACACAAGGATGTGTGAATTCCTCCATTGCCTTTCCTCCCTCCCAACTAGTGTCTTGCATGAAAACCCATAAGGGTGTCATCCTGTGGCCTTGACTGTCAGTGATAAGCGAGGAGCCTGTACCTGAAGTTGTGTCGATCTCCCCGTCCTGCTCCTTGTAGCTGTAGGGATTGCACATGCTCTGGGTGCCTGACTCATTGGTGAGAAAGCCTTTCCCCCCAATGCTGGTGTTGTGCCAGTCTTGGGCTGGTCCAAGCAGCTGGAAGAGAAGGTAAGAGGAGATGGTAGAAACTACTTCTTTTGCTATGGGTGCAATGTTAGATTCCTTGCACTTAATTAGAAGACAGGAAAGCAAAAAGGTTCTCTCTTCTCATGCTAAGTTATATAAAACTTTACATCCAGTTTAAAAAAAAAAAGTTAATGTAAAACAGGAGTGGCTGAAGTACCCTTGGTGATGAACCCCTATCTTATCAGTGGGATGAGTGTGGCATGTCTGGAAATGCAGATTAAGGGCCAAACATGTCAGAGGTGATGGGGAGGGCAAAATAGAAGTCTGGAAGACCTTTGCAGACCCTAATTCAGCAACCTGAGGCCAAGGAAATGGCCTCAAGTTGTGGCAGGGGAAGTTTAGATTGGGTATTAAAAAAACATTTTCATTAGAAGTGTTGTGAAGCATTGGAACAAATTGTTCAGGGAAGCTGTGGAGTCATCGTCCCTGGAAGTGTTCAAAAAAGGGGAGGGCAAAATAGAAGTCTGGAAGACCTTTGCAGACCCTAATTCAGCAACCTGAGGCCAAGGAAATGGCCTCAAGTTGTGGCAGGGGAAGTTTAGATTGGGTATTAAAAAAACATTTTCATTAGAAGTGTTGTGAAGCATTGGAACAAATTGTTCAGGGAAGCTGTGGAGTCATCGTCCCTGGAAGTGTTCAAAAAATGTGTGGATATAGCATAGCACCTTGAGGATATGGTTTAGTGGTGAATATGGTGGTGGTGCTGCATCCACAGTTGGACTTGATGATCTTAGAGGTGTTTTCCAACCTTAACAATTCAATGATTCTATGAACTTCTACTCCTAGCAGTACTCAATAACATCCTCTGCCTTTCATATGAAGGGTAAATATTTCCATGGCTGTGTCCTCTCCAGTTCAGGTTTACAAAGCAGCCTTCTTTTTATATTAAATTTTTCAGGCTTCCTCATTAAATAAGGGTCTTGGATTATATAAATGTATGTTCAGCTCATGTGGAACTGGATCAGATACCTGCTTCCCTGGTGCAAATACCAACTTCGGACAATTTTTTTTCTGACCAGAAGGGCTGGTTTTACCTTAAAAATATCCGGATTTATTTCCTCTTCATCTTCGTCTGTAACTGTTTTGTAAGCAATAAAAAAAAGAGAAGAAAACAGACAGAGATGTCAACTTTTAGCCCTCATACTTCTGCTTCTTTGCCACAGAACCCACTTCATATTCTCTTGTCACACAACACTACTACCTTTTACTCCCCCTACCCCAAACTCCTCACAATCCTTCATCGCAGTTGCTCTTCAACAAGTGCACATTGGGGTGCAGGACTCCAGCCAGATCTGATGCTTCCCCATGACTCAACAGAGCAGAACCCACTTGGTATGGAAGATGATAGGAGGAAGATGATTTGCACCCTGAGTGAAGAACCACTCTGATATATGCATGTTAATTATTTTTTCCCCACTGGGAAGCGTGGCTACCTCCATTGTCACTTTTGTAGCAGGTGGCATTTCAGAGCCTTTCACCCATGAAAGAGCACATGCCAGCTCTTCCCTTCTGCACCCTGGCCAGTTTGGCAACTCCAAATGCCCAAATCTATCCAGTAGATGTTGCTTTTTCTACAAAACGACTCTTGTTTCTCCTATTGCCTTGGGCACTCCATTCCACTGCTTTGACTCCAACCTGCCTCCAGCAGACCAGTGAAAGATTGGGATAGGAAAAAGGAAATACCCACCTTCAGAGGATGAAGCCAGGGGAGACACCTGGAGCTGGTAGAGGTCGTTGGTGCTGTCAGCCATGGTGACTTCCATGGGCGGCCTCCAGTCGGTCAGAGAGCCGCTCACCTCGCAGGAGTTCAGGTCTGTAGGATGCACCAGGAAGTCAGCATTCACAGCAGAGAGACAACCACCTCTATTTCCTCCCTGCCTATCTAGCAGCACAGCCACCCCAGCCCCAAGACTCATCTTTGACCGTGGGTTTAGTGCTAACAGCATTTTCCACTCTGCTCAGAGCTAAAACCAGGGTCTCACCTAAGGTGATGGATGTGCTCTCCACCTCCACTTCCTGCCCTGCATAGCTGTGAATGGTGTAGCTGCTGTGGTCATCTGGCAGAGGAGTGTTGGTTAACCTTTCTGCTGACTCCTCCAGCCTTGTTTCTTCATATAACTACAAAAACAAGGGCAAAGCATGAAAGACTTGTCTAAGAACACACAAGTTCCCATATGAAAAAAACTTAAGCAAGAAAACCACCAAAACCTCTAGCTCCTTCAGCTGCCTCTACAGACACATACCTTTCTCTTGCTCCTGTTTCTTACTTCTCTTGAAGACTTTGACTTCCTTTCTGGGAAATAACAATAAGACAAATGTGAGAAAGGGCTGCACATTTTAACCAAGTGCAAGCTCTTGCAGCCTTTGAGACCTGCTCAGCAAGCTCAGCTACTGCCAGCAGCAGCCAGTCCCCATCACATCCTGATGATGCCTTTAAGCACATTTAAAGAATCTGGGATAAAAATCAATAATTTGTAGAAGCTGCTCCCAGTGGCAGTAAGCAGTAAGTAAACCCAGCAGCACCAGTGCTACCAACTGGTCTGTTACCCTCTGCCTACGTGGAGCAGGACATTTAAGTGCTGTTTAAGCAGCATAACCCCAGCTGGATTGCCAAGGGTGGTTTACCTTTCTTCTGATGCTTTGTCAAGGGTGGGAGCATCCTGTAAACCCTGACAGCACTGGAACCTTTGTTGATGCTTTTATCCTTCACTTCTTCGATGTCAGGCAGGGAATTCATGGCACAGCGGAAGTTTGCCTTCCAGGTTTTTGGATCGGGATCTTTCTCACCTTCTTTATATCTTCCTATAAATAAGAGATGGGGTGAGCTTCTAAGACTTTGAAGTGCTACCACCAAACAAAAAAGCCAAAATTCTATTTTCTGACATACATACTAGTAGTTAACATAATGACTAGCGGTTAATGTAACTATTAGTATAAGGGGTAAGTCAAGGCAAAAAAGTGCCTTGTTTGAGATGTGAATATGACTGATGGAATGCAAATCCAGCACACACCTGTATGAATGGCCCAGCTCCGGAAAAGGCATGCATCCTTCTCCATGTCCCAGCCATGCTTAGCTGCATGTTTCCATGGGATTTGAAATATCATCTTCTCCTGAAATTAAACCAATAGAGATTTGAATTAAAAAAAAGAAACATCACATGCCAGTTTGGAATTACGGATTTAATCAAAGAGTTCTCGGTAGCAGCTCAAATGTTATAGCCTGCCCTGCTCTATATTTTAATTAGATGTACATTCTTCTATCTATTTTCTTCATGGCATTTAAGGCTTTTTATGATTTCTGAAACTGAGAACAAAAACATGTGGTGCAGTACAGTAGAAGTAAGCAATATTAGCAATTGTACCCCAAAATCACTGTAATACATTGTATCCAATCTATTAGTATGTCATGAATATTCATTTTCTAGGTATGCTTTGGCAGAGAATCCAATTTTTAAGTTGCCCATAAAATCCTGCAGGAATCCTACAAAATAACATGTCCCAGCTTAAATATCTCCTTGGCATTGATACGGAAACTTCAGAGACCTGGTTCAATAAGCTCAGTGATCTCACCCTGTGCTACAGGTACAGGGATGTGCCTTTCAGACCAAAAAATACAGCATTTCTTTCAGGCCAGATCTTAAAACTGGGAGCAACTGGAGTGTGACAGCAACTATTTAACTGGGACAGGAGGTGGCTTGGCTCAGTGGGCAGCAGGAGTTAAGAGATCTTGGAGCTTTCGTGGTTCTCCAACATGTTCAGACTGCTTCCATTATAATTTATCATTCTCCTTGGAATTTTCCCAGGAAAAAAAATGAAACTATGCCACGGTGTACCAACCAGAGCTACCTTTTCTGCAAATAAAAACAGGTTTTGTTAAACATAATTCTGTCAAGTTTTCTCTATAGTTTTTCCTTCATGGTCTTGACTCACATTTAGTGTCATTTAAGAACAAGGATGGTTAATCATACACAAGTAATACTTATAATGATAATAACAGTACAAACCAGCCTCACCTGGTTAATCCATCTCAGTCCTGGTATTTGATTGGAATTAATCTGCATTTCCAACCAGGGCCTCATGCGCATTCTTGACACCGGCATGTTGGCTGTGAAAGAAATTGCAGGTCAGCCAAACCCTCGTCAGTGTTTTACCCATTCTGCAGCACCACTCCTCCAGCACCCTCCGTGCTCTCAGCATCACCACCAACGCTACCAACGACAACAACTTTTCCAGAGTCTTAACTCTTGTTCGGTGTCTTCCACCTGAAGTGCTTCCTGCTCCGCCTGCTCCGCCTCAAAACACGGCTCGGGTTTGGAACACGACCGAGAGGCTGATGGCAGGGGCAGATGCTCGGTCCGTGCTGCACGCCCCGACCCCCGGCTCGGGGAGGGAGCCCAGCGCCAGCACCGCGAGTGGGTGCGGGTGTCCCCCGCGGGACCAGTGTGGGATACCCCGCTGCAGCTACTGGAAGGTACTAAGTGCACAGTCCTCCCCTAAAAGGTTTTTCAATAACGAAGTTGCACACGGTGGGGGTAGCGGCCCTGCTGCAGGAGGGGATGCCCTAGGGATCCCCAATTCCACCGCGACCCGTCCCGGGAAGCAGCGCCCGGCGCCG